TTACTGGTGACATATTTCTAGTTTCCCATATATCATAGGTGAATAATTTTAGGAATGAAGAGTAGACATATTAAGTTTAATTTTCTATCTGATTTTGAATGTGAGATAAGTTTGAATAAAAGCATAGTTGGTTGCTAATTTCCTTGTACAGTAGTCGTTCAAAGTAAAACAAAGTACAGGCAACTTACTTCCAGGGGTCTCCTGCCTTCCCATTAAGGAATAAAGGCCTGTGTGTAAAGATGACTGTTGGGTGTCAGTTGGAGCTCAAGGGCGTAGCAAAGGCGTAGCAAGGGTGTCCTGAGTAGCCGGTGACTCCCTCCTTGCATTCCCTACTCCCTACACTGCTAGCGCTGAAAATCTTACCCACTGATATCATCGCAAGGTTTAGCACAAGAGATACGAAGAGAACAATAGAACTAACACAATATTAAAGTACATCAGATCATAGTTTAATTCATTCATGTTTCACCTTAATTCTTAATATAAAGACCCCAAAAAACAGGGTATAATTGGCAACTAGACACAAAAGTTACAGCATTTCCATAATGACAGAAAACCTCACGATCATAAGATATCTTTTCACATAATCATAACATAATTGGTCTAAGGTGTACTTAAGCTTGTCTGTTTGAAAATGTTCTGCTATTTTTTATGACAAAACCATGCAATGTGCATATTGTTTATGATATCTACATCATAACTTAGGTTGATTAAAAGGAGGAAATCTAGGGAAACTCTGCATGTGTTTGACGGGGACGATGTTCTCAAAACTTGCAAAGCGATCAACGCGCATGCTTGTCTTTAGTATCTTCAAGCAGCTAGCGCACATCCTATTCATTTGTCGCGCCAAATATGGCTACAGACCACACGACCCTTCTCAGATAACTCAAAACAGCGTATGTGGAACTTTTTATTGCAAAATAATTAACCATTGCGTGACGATTACACACCAGTTATACGTTTTCACAAAAAAAACACAGTTAACTTGACAAAATACGCGACAAAAGCACGCGACCCTTCTCAGATAACTTAAAAAAGCACATGTAGAACTTTTTATTGCAAAATAATTAACTACTGCGTGACGTTTACACACTAGATATATATCTTCAGTAAAAAAATCACAGTCAATTGGCGAAATACGGGACAACAGCACGCACACATGATGCATACTTCCAGTTTCACAGGCATGATGGGTTAACTGTCCCATTACACTGTCTAATTACAAACGTAGCACGCACACTGTCCTATTACTTCTCAAATCGGGCTGGTGATAACCAATCGCGTTCAAGAACTTTGTTATAGTTTTGATTAACAATTGTAATTGAACTGAGACGTCGAAGTACAACTACAATTATTACAGTTGGAGCTGAAATCATACCTATAAAAGGGTTAAAGCTTTAGCTCAGTTCTATGCTCTATACTCTCATAGAGCACGCTCTTTCAACCATTGACAGCGCGCGTTAGATCAAGATAACAACTTCCACTCGATAAGTTTGAGTATTCTCATACTTGTTTGCTGGATATTGTATTGATACCATCGGTAGACTAATTAGATGTTGATCATTCCTAGGAGTTAAAGGGTAAGATATGCCTAAGATAGCATTTACAACTACCAATTTGGCAACATATCTGCAAAGTTTAAAATCAGACTTACAAAATAACGAAAAATTTTTTTTCCATATTACCTGAAATGTTGTTGATTTCAGATCTAGATGCATCGTTGTACTATAAACAAGATTCTTTTGTACAACATACTATAAAAATGGCACAGATAGACCAAACGTAGCCTTGTGACCCACAAACAAATTGGCAGTGAGATATGAAGTGAATGCTTTTACATTTCCACGCTGAAAAAAGATCACCATTAACATTGTGAAAAGTTTCACAACCTCTGCGAGAAGGACTGCCATTGAAGTAAAGTACAGTTTGTTTGATCATGTCCTGGAGTGGCGAAGCAGAGAGAAGTAGCAAGTAGCTTGGAGTGTTAAGATGACAAAGATGAGGACCAGAAACAGCGTGGATGAAGTAAATGACATAGTATCTGAAACACAAACATAACTAAACAGTTTTATTCACTCAAGCGCAATTCATGAAACTGGGAATACTTGTACTCAAGGAATACTGTATATGGTGCTCCAAAAAATTTTAACTCTTTCACTTCTAGAACTTATCTACATGTAATTTCTCCTCACAATTCCAATATGTTCATTATAGCAGGTTATAAAAACATACGATAAGCCTGTTGGTGAGTAGGTGTTATCTTGATATAAGACCAAAATCCCATCTTGTTCATAAGGAAATGTGGTAGCAATAGAGGGGAGAAGTACTCAAAGGATCATGGGAGTTAAAGGGTTCACCCTTCAAATCCCAAGTTCCGCTGACTTTTTATTCTCCTCTCTGGAAGCTATATATTTCCGTGTAAATTGGTAACGAGAATTTGGTGTTAGATCAAAATAACAAATTCTTCCAGAAAAAGGATTTTAGATATATGAAAATTCATATATTTGCACTGCGGTGGAAAGATGAAATTAGAAGATCCTCGCAGCTAAGAACACTACTGAAACTAGTAGTTGTAAGTAGGACCTGAAAAAAATTTCAGCCGTACAACAATTTGAACCCATGACCTCTGCGATACCGGTGCAGCGCTATACCAATTGAGCTAACAAGCCAACTGGGAGCTGGTAGCGCTGCACCGGTATCGCAGAGGTCATGGGTTCAAATCCCGTACGGGCCTGAAATTTTTTTCAGGTCCTACTTGCAACTACTAGTTTCAGTAGTGTTCTTAGCTGCGAGGATCTTCTAATTTCATCTTTCCACCGCAGTGCAAATATATGAATTTTCATATATCTAAAATCTTCATTCATTCGGATGTTTATTTGTACCCAATTCATTGACCAGCTCCCAGTTGGCTTGTTAGCTCAATTGGTAGAGCGCTGCACCGGTATCGCAGAGGTCATGGGTTCAAATCCCGTACGGGCCTGAAATTTTTTTCAGGTCCTACTTGCAACTACTAGTTTCAGTAGTGTTCTTAGCTGCGAGGATCTTCTAATTTCATTTTTCCACCGCAGTGCAAATATATGAATTTTCATATATCTAAAATCCTCATTCATTCGGATGTTTATTTGTACCCAATTCATTGACCAGCTCCCAGTTGGCTTGTTAGCTCAATTGGTAGAGCGCTGCACCGGTATCGCAGAGGTCATGGGTTCAAATCCCGTACGGGCCTGAAATTTTTTTCAGGTCCTACTTGCAACTACTAGTTTCAGTAGTGTTCTTAGCTGCGAGGATCTTCTAATTTCATCTTACAGAAAAGTTTGAGGATTGTCATTACCTGTTTACTGGATAATTTATGGATATTATAGGGAGAAGTTACATGTTAATCACTTCTGGGAGTTCAAGGGTTCAAGCCAATCAGCTGAGAGAAAACTAAGCAGCCTACAACAATGGTGATCAATTTCCGGGTTTGAGGTTTTTCTTTTGTGTTCTGACTTGAATGTGATTGGTTACAACGTGACGTAGCCATCAGAAACAGAACAATGAATAATTTTTGAAGGTTTTCTGAGTCTCACATTGAAAACTACCCATACTATTGCAATTCCTGGGTTTTATTGGCTCACAAGAAACTACATCTAAGCTAGCTGAGATTAAATACAATGGACATTTTCAAAAAATCAGTTGGAGTTTTTTCTTATTATTATTTTCTTTTCAGTTAATGCAGCTGAAACATTTTTCCCTTTATTCTTTTTTTTACGAGAAAAGAAGAAACAGTCATGTCAGGGGTGGGGAGTTAGTGCTGTCCTGGGAAGAACTAAATTCTAATCGCGTATGAAAGCTATTGATTGAGCTATATATAAAACCACTCCTCACACTGCACAACAAAATTAAAAACAATCCATGCTTTTATTCAAACTTGTTTCACACTCAAAATCAGATAGAAAATTAAACTTAATATGTCTACTCTTCGTTCCTACAATTATCCTCCTATGATATACGGGAAACTAGAGATATGTAACCAACAATCATCTCTAACTAAGATTTAGATGTATAGGTAAGTTAGTTGATGGCTTCCTGCTATTGTTACGGCTACTGCCCTTGTGAACACCACTCCTACAGCATACTGCTTCTTCCATTGCTACAACTACTTCTACTGCTAGCGCTATTACCACTGCTACTTTCTGTACTACTGATAATCTTTATATAACAGTGATATACTAGGTCTAGGTGAGAGGTTTAATCTCTTAATGACACTGCAATGTTTTTTTTTGTTCCGTTTGTTACTGACTGATATTGATACTAATATTATCAACTCAGTAAGTGAGCTTGTAAAAAAAGCTTCCCTTTACTGCTAAGTATACGAGTAAAGTACTGCGACCACAGGTAACCCAAGAAGGTAGCTCGGGTTCTTTCTCTCATGGCGAACTTTCATTTTGAAACCTGTCGTCAGATATAGCATGTTCTCACATCCTCTTAGACAGCTCAAAATCCATACCAGCATTCAATCTTCCCGTAGTTTCTGGAGATATTCTGTCTTTGCAAAGGCATTTTCTGATCACCAGCGCGGCAATCAAAAGAAGCAGTGCCCCTCCAATTAAAGACCCACCAATTATTCCATAAATTGAACCTTCTTGAGGAACCGCGTCTGCCTCCGTTGGTACATGCGAAGTTGTCGCTCCTTTGTCCAAAAAGAAAGAATAAAAAATATTTTTTAAACATGAACTCGAACGAAAAAGCAAGGAATGAGTTCCCGCTAATTTCTTTTTTTACTTATCCGCTTGATGAAGGATTCGGATCTGTTTACGTCAAGCATGCGACGTGCGGGTCTCCATACCACGGTTTATTTTATTCACTAATGAATTGTTATAACTTTTTATAATACAAACGATGTTAAAATAGTTAAACACTTTCTGAATTTGTTATAACAATTGGTAACGTGTTTGCACGCTAAATGAACACAACGTTTACGCTAACTCTTTTCAATCTCTCCATGACATTTCTATGCAGTTTCTCCAGTACTGATTCAATTGCAGAATTTAATCGGCAAGCTAGTTGACTCCATCTTTAATTTCAGTGATAAATGTAAAATAGTTAATTCTACTTGTTAAAGAGGTTAAATCGGTTAATATATCAGGCTTTGAATTGGGTGAATCTTGTGTTTGTTCATCTTGTTCATCTTTGCTCCATATTGGTTCATCTCCCTTGTAAGTACTTTGTTCACTTATTTTCTTTCGTTTGAGGTTGTCATTCAACTTTTTAGCCAAGAAAAGCGCTTTGATGATTTTCTCACCATTTACGAATAGAAAAAAACTCACCTGTGAACGCCGTAGTCTCAGGCAAAGTAGATGTAGCAGAGGTTTCAGATTTCCTGTTTGTGAAGGAAGTGGTAGGTCTAGTCCGGGGCTTTGTTGTCGGAGGCAAAGTCTCAGGCAAAGTAGATGTACCAGAGGTTTCAGATTTCCTGTTTGTGAAGGGAGTGGTAGGTCTAGTCCGGGGCTCTGTTGCCGGAGGCAAAGACTCAGGCAAAGTAGATGTACTAGAGGTTTCAGATTTCCTGTTTGAGAAGGGAGTGGTGGGTCTAGTCCGGGCTTTTGTTGTCGGAAAGACGCCGATTTCAACTGTCAAACTGATGTCTGTTATGCAAGAAACGTCCCCATTGTCACTGGCACTAACAGTGAGATAATGAACTTTCTTCGTCAGGTGGGACACCACGGTAACTACACCAGTTTTGGGATCAATAGAGAACGCGTCATTTTTGGATAGGCTATAAGTTATATAGCTGTTTACTCCACTGTCCAAGTCAATTGCAGAAATTTTGGTTACGGTTTCTCCGGGAATGAGTGTAAGGAATTCTAGTTTTAGATCTCCTGGTGGCTCGATGAAGGTTGGACAATTGTCATTTTCATCCATTACTGTTATCTGCACAGTAGCGATTCCAGATTTCTGTGGATATCCATTATCCGCAGCAACCAGGGTCACATTGAATGATTTCATCTCAATTGTCTCAAAATCCAGCTTCTTTGCGATGTAAACCTTTCCAGATTGTCCGCCAATGGTAAGAATACTTTCTACGTTATCATCACCAAGTATGGCATAAAATATCTGACCGTTTCTTCCTGAATCTGTATCGTTGGCTTTTACTTGTAAAATCATTGTTCCTACAGGAGAATTTTCCACAATGGTTACACTATAAAAAGTGTCGTTAAATCTTGGAGGATTTATGTTTGCTTTTGTGCTCTGGTCGCAGTATTCGCCATCAAAAGCTGGATAACAAGAACAAATGTTAGGCAGGATGCAATCTCCTTGGCTAGAGCAATTTTTTACAGCACTACAATCAGGAACGCTGCATGCGCGACCCGACCAAGAGGAATTGCAGAGGCAAAGATCGTAGCCGACACATTTTCCATTTCCTGAAGCGAAAAAAAAACAAAACAAAATCGTTCGTCAGCTTTATCTTATCGTATTTATTTCTTTTAGAAGCTACAGCTATAAATAACTCGGGAATGAAAGTTGTCGGGGAGAAGGTCAATATCATTATCATAGAGACAGGATTGTGCGCTAGGATCGTTGCGAGAAAAGCACTTCTATATGAAAGTGTCCAACAATTTCGATCACACAAAGGCATTGAAACTCTCTGTGACCATTTGCTCTCGGACCGTGAAAGGCAAATGATATGTCATTTTTGGTGAAAAAATGATGTTCTCCTCGCTAGTGTGATGTGTTCATAGGAGTAGCGACTTAGAAAAAAGTTTTATGACGAGACGATTTTAAATTTCAAAACGATGTACTTACCGGAGCAAAAGTTGACAGCCTCACAAGAAAAGTTACTGCAGTCAGTTCCAAGGTATCCAAAGTCACATTTGCAGAACTCAGCTTCCACGCACGCACCATGGGCAGAACAATTATTCACGGTTGTGCAAGTGGGCTGACTGCAGTTATCGCCAGTAAAACCAAGGTAGCAACTGCAAGACACATTCAGCATCTCGGTAGAAACGCAAACACCTTGGCCACTGCAGTTTGCGAGATGACTACAGTCCGCCATCTGACCACAATCCGCTCCAATAAATCCCGGAAGGCAACGACATTTGTCGCTGGAAATGCACTCTCCTCCTTTGGAACATTGATTGACAGCTTCACAGTCAGGAAGAGCGCAGCTTACTCCGGTCCAGCCATAATCACAGGCACATCTGTCAAATGCCACGCAGCTACCGTGTTCTTGTTAACAGCAAGCGGGAAGAAAGGACATGAAAACATTAATACTAGCATCGGATCAGGAGAACGTTATAAAGGACAAACTAAAAGAAGCAATGAGGGATGGAGGGAAAGTCGGGAATTACAACTCTAACACTCTAAATCACTCTTAAGTTCAATTCTGTTGAGCAGAAATTAAATTCTTTCTGAAAGAATCATGTCTCTTCAGAAAAGAATTTATTATTTTAGATTCTTCGTCCCCAGAGGAGAATTATAATTCTGAGCAGAAGAAATCTCCTTCTTTAGGAAAGAACTGTGAGTCTTCTCCCGAGGTAAATAATTCTTATGAGAAGAATCTCGTGTATGTTTGATTTTTGTTCCAAGAGTACTATTTTTTTCCCACATGTACAAAATTATTTTTCCAAGAACCAGTTAATGGCGTATTCTTCTGAAAAGAAGCACGGCCCTTCTCTCAAGATGAAATCCATTTAAGCAGAATCTCATTTTTTTAAGCAAGCTTATTAGAAGAATTACTGCTCCTCCCTGAAGACACAATATTTGTTTGGGAAGAATGTCAGTTTCTGAGTCTCCTCATGAGAATTTTTGTCCTTCACCTAGGAATGAATATTGGTTTTTAAATTGATCGTTCTTCACATGAGATTGACTTTGCTTGTGCGAAAAATCACATTCCAAAGTATTTTTGCTGATGAAATCTTTGTGCTCTTCTGAGGTCTGAATATAACTTAATTCGTAAACTATGTATAAAATTTCAAAGAAAATTTTCCAACTCACCAGAGCAATAATCCAATTGTTCGCAAGAGTATTGGGCACAATTGCTTCCAGTCCATCCCATATCACATTTGCATACATCGAAATCCACACAAATTCCACTGCCAGAACAGTTTGATACATCGTAACAAGTCGGAACAATACTGCAGTTAGCACCTGAAAATACGAGAAATGTACCTGTTTTAAGAACAAGAAGTGTTTCGGGCGATATAACGGGCTGATAGCATTTTTATGAGCACAAGGCAGCTATGTAAAGTACGAACTTTAGATTAAGATTTCTGCTTAGAACAATTAAAAGCAAAAGTGCATTGATTGAATAATTGATCATTCTCATCTTTTCTTCGTATGGCTGATTATAAAAAAAAAAGCCATTACTGGTCTACTTTTAAACTTCCTACTCTATAATCTCTTCAATAAATTTCGTCTTAATTATCCACTCCGCTCGTCCATTGTGACTACTTTTTCGCCCTCGCTCTCCACAAACCATGAGCCAATCATGGTGAAACCTGCTGCTGTTCCATCTAGTCTTTTTGGTTATCACGATTACTACAACTAAAATGAAACACTCCTCCCCAGACCCCACCAATTTTTCTCGCCTTCTCTTTCGTTCATCTTCGCTGACCGAGAAGTTACAAGAGCACTAGTTATCACTGATCTTTTTTTTTTTAATAATCTAGCATGCGTTTATGATAACATCAACAACAACAACAGCCATAAAAAGATTTGTGTAACTCACCTATGTAGCCAGGATTACACTGGCAAACATCCGTCGTTTTGCAACTGCCGTGTTCAGGGCTAGTACAGTTGTTAACTCTACGGCAAGTGGCTGTAGATCACAATAATTTAAAAACGTTAGCATTTTGGTGTGATATAACGACGTGTCGTTGGAAAATCATGACAAAGGGTACTTCTATCGGAAAATGAAACGAGCGCTTGACCTCTAGAGCGAAACGTCCTCTGTCGCCCTTCACTCTTTCTCAATCGTTTCAAACTCGGAAAAGACAAAATCCAACCTGCTCAAACAATCCAATAGAATGCGACCTTAGCTCATTTATAAAGTCTTTGAAACATCCATTTAGCAGCTTAAAAGAGTTTCCTGGTGTCAATATGAGGAGATAATAGAACAAAATGAATATACACTATTTTAGTCTGAAGACGAACGGCATAACCTTCCAGTTCACAGCTTCGTCCTTCCCAGCCCAAGTCACAGACACAAAATCCTTTAACACACTCGCCATGAATGGTTGAACAGTTCAGACAAGAGCCTAAGGGAAAGAAAATTATGATGACAACGTTAGGGTCGACGAGGTACGATTTTTGTGTGAAGAAGTCAGATAGTAACGCTGAAAAACCCAGTTGTGCTATGTTAGAACTCAGAGTGGAAATTGAACTTACTGAGAAGCTCCGAAAACAGAAAAAAGTCTTAACAATACACAAACGAAGTAGAAAACACACACGCACAACAAAATTAAGCGAGCCCTTATGCTGGGTATAACTGTATGTCTTGTACAGTAATACAATTTACTAAAGAATTCTAGCAGAGAGATCCAGGTGTCCGCCTTGACTATCTAACACCTGTTGATAAAACTCAACTGAAAGTAATCAATACCTTTGTCACAACTCTTCCCAGTCCAACCTTCGATACATTTACATGTTCCATTGATACATCTCCCTTTACCTGAGCATTGGCCAGGACAATCTGGAACAGAGAAATCGAATTTTTCGAATCGATTATTATAGATAATTTGATGTATTAACCACAAAGAATCAGATATCGTGAACATGGTGAAGCCAACAAGTTAGTGCTCCGACCTTTATATGCTGTTACTTTGAAAATTCCTTATTGCGCATTGTAAAAGTTTCAGGTTGTTATGTTTAAAACAACTTTTTATCAATGATAATATCTTTGAGCCACTTTTTATCCGATCTTCATATTTTTGGATGATAAGGGGTAACATTTTGATATAAATTGAAACACCAAATGTCCTTATACTCTAAAGACAAACTAAATTAGTTCTTAAACTTATGAAATCATCCTTACAAAGCACTCGTTAAGAAAGCTTACCTCGTTTAAAAGTTTCCTGATCAGTAAATGTCGTGTCATTGGTTATGGCGACATCGAATATGCAGCTTTGTAAATCGTTATCAGAGATGTTCAAGGATTTGCACATGCTTGTTGCAATCTATGTTGAAGATAGAATGGTTTTTAGGACAGACGAGTCATAACAAATTCTATCAAATTAAGAAGTACATCTCAATCACCTTGGGTCTTTAAACAAGTGCCTGGAAGCTTAGTTCAAATTAAGGTAAGGAAAAGGGCACTAAGCTAAAGCAGACTCACTACATTCTTTTAAATCCTGGCTAGACGTGATGGTTTGTTTTTGATTTCTGCTTTTTGTTTTGTTTTTCTTTTTTTATGTGCCTTCTTTATAACAGCGATGGTATGCCATAGGGTTGGTCAAAAAAGTAGGTTTATCTTTTTTTTTTATTTTTGTTGCAGTCGAGTTTCCCCTTTTTCAATAATGGCAAATGAACCGCGCGGAATCCAATTTGGTCTGTGATCATACAAGTGAAAAATGAGGAATTGAAGCGTTCTGTCCAATCACACATGCATTAGGCATAAACTAACCAATAACACTGTTCAAATAAAAGCAATGCAGCAACATAGTCCTATCATTGCTCAAATGGTATTATTGCTAAATGACCAATCACATAACAGATCTAAGTCATGGCTTTGATTTATTCACATGAGTTTATTAACCTGCAGTAGAGACTGAGAAATTCCGTCCAGTGAATACATAGGTATGTATGTGGGATCTGTGTACGTTATGTCCATTATGTCATCGTGATAAAAGTTTGATGAGTTCCATGACCAAGAGTCCTTCGTGCCTGAGCCATCGTGACAATCCGTGATCCTCCCTTTTAAATGAAAGAAACAGTTTCATCGGCATATAGGTTGATACAGTTCGACAATATGTACATTGCTTATCATGCTGGAAACAAAGTGTTTTTCAGGTTATTGTCTTCATTTTGCCGGCCACAGACTACCCCATTTATCGTATTTAAAAAACCGGAGGAAGGTTACATCGGATAACGCAGCTACTGTTACTTAAAACATCCTCGTTTGGCTTATCTTTAAATCTCTTTAAAGTTTTGGTGTCCATCTGCATCATTCTACAACTTCGCTCAGTTACTAGGCCCGCCTAGATTGATTATTTCAATGTCTGCACACTGCTGCTGATTCTGTTGATCAAATCTCCTTTTCTTTATCAACAACTTATCTTAACTTTGATTGGAAAATTGAACTCTAATCTTTCTTTTCCTTTAAATATGTAGTAGAATTTTCCAGCAACTAAAGGAACGATCTGAAAATTACTCATTTTGCTTTTAGCACTCAAAAGTAGTCGGCAGCTGTTCCACTTGACAATGAACTATTCTCGAACTCATCAAACGCACAGTAGAGATAGAAATATCGTGCTAACAACGCGTTTATTCAGTGCGTACTGTAAGTTAAAGATACTTATTTTTCCCCTCCAGTCTGTGACCTACTGCACAGACCTAAAAGACGAGGTTACTAATACGTATGTAAAATTTTGTTGTATTTTAAGGATTTTTTCAATACCAATAAATGTTTTAACTAAAAATATTGGGGTAACATCTAGATCAAACTATGTGATAAGCTTTGCTTACATGATTCGGCAAATTGAACGGCGTCATCGTAAAGAGTTCCGTCGGTTCCCATGAAATCGTTAGTGGCATTGTTATCCATGAAGCCACACAGTCCTTCAGTGTGACCTTTGTAAGCAGCAGTTGGCGAGTAGAGAATATTCAAATACTGTCTCTTCATAACTCGACTATGACGAACGTCGATGGTTACTGTTACTCCTGAGAGAAGTAAAAAAATCAGCCTTTAGACGCAACGAAATGTAACGAGGCTGGAATTTCACGGTAACGAGGGTTTTCTTCTCTGACCTCTGTGGCCTGAGTTCAACTTTCAAGACCGGAGTCACATACCGTCAAGCAATAACCGACCATTTCGCTTAGATGTCGTTTCGCCGTCGACCAGTTCGTTACCATCTTAGTTCGTTTCGTTAACGTCTCGGGCTAGTTCACCCGCGTCCTATTGATTGATTTGCTGACATTTCTTCTCAGTTTGTGCATCTCATTAAAGTCAAACCCTTAAACCCTTTAACTCCCGTGAGTGACCAAAACAGAATTTCTCCTTACTATATCTATACAATATCATGCAGACAAGTGATGAGAATAAAGAAAAATATCAATTATGAGATTACTAATTGATCCGATACCAAATTCTCCAAACTAACATAATGAGAATCATTTGGCAGACAGTAAGGAGAATTGCTAATGAGATCTTGGGAGTTAAAGGGTTAAGTGATAAAGTTCCTGTACTGGCTTAGAGGATTTTTCTCGGGGTTGGATCTAAGGTCTTCTTTCTCCCACTAGCAAAAGAGCAAATAACCAACAAACAAACAAACAAGATAAACAAATAGACATAACGAAAATCCTCCAAAATATGGCCCAATATGATGGACGAAGAGCATCCCTTGGAAATTTATTCGCGTAAGACCATTTCCTATTTGGGGCAATTTGAGGAACTAAAAGCATTGTTTATTTCTGGATAAAAGTCCAGCTGGTTAGTATTCATACCTACTGATCTTATGAATGGCTTGGGCAAAAAGGAAAATACTTTATCTTTTAAGGACTTGCCTGCATCATACTGAAGTGAAATTAAAACGACGCTGTTCTCCTCAGCCTCAAAAGAAAAACGTCTTTGATGATCCAATAACACTGTGCCATTACTTATTTCAATAGGTTCTGACAAATTACTGGTGGCATTCATTTCCACTCCATCGATTCTGTTGAGAAATCAAGGTCAGTCATAAAAAGTTCTTGAATGATACTGGTTCAATCAAGGTGAATTGCATCTCCTTATTAGGGTTAGTGAGTCAACATCGCAATAGGTTGTATCTGAACAAGTAAGTACTTGAAGATCCCAGTCACCCTGGCTATAGCCTCTATTATGGAAATACTTTGTTTATTGATTAAGAAGCATAAACCAAACCTTGTAATGGGCAAGTCTTGAACTCTTTCAGTCTTGATCGTCATAATCGTAACAACACTTCTCCCAGCTTTGAGTGCAATTCCACCAATAAGCGAAGCTCGCTCGTAATAATAAAAACGAAATTGAAGACCAAAATCGTTTTTAACACTCTTGCAACCCCAGAACTCTCCAATTCCAAAAAAGTCAAAATTAACACCTGGCGAAGAAGGCAAAAATCAAAACTGCCGTCATAAACATTACACAAACCCTGAAATAAAGCTCTCATTTACAAACGAAAACACAAAGGATTGTTGAAATCTATCGTTTAACTGAGTAGTTTGATGAGCAAATTGTTGGACCTCTTTCAGGGTTTTTAAATTTCTCTTTATCTCTCGCTCGAAAATGAGTGAATGTAGAATCTGTTTTTCTTCTCTACTTACCATCTAATGTTTCCAGATGTGGGTCACCTCCACCATTTGCAATTAAGCGCTCACAAAATTCTCCCTCCCATCCTCCTGAACAGTTACACTCCGCTTCACACTTTGGGGCTATGATAGGATCTCCGTTACCTGAACAGTCTGTAAAGCGAATTATCATGACTTTGCCAAAAGAAAGATCATTGCAGTGATATATTTCGAGAGTACTAAAATATACATAAATACGTTTGTTATTTCACTACTTCGCCATATTATCATAATTAGGGAAAAGGAACGCGCAAAATATGCCACAGTATTACACTGCAGAATAGGGTAAAAATACGGACGGAAAGTGAAGCAACAAAATGGCCGCGCTGAATGATCGAAAATTTGCTTTTTTCGGCTTTTAGGCTCAACTTTTTAAGAAAGGAACTTGTAAGTGTACCAGATTTTTTTGTTGCATTGGTCAGAAGAAACACTTTAGTAGTTTCGCCTGTGTTGTTTTTGTTTTTAGCGCACACCTTATGCGATCGGTAAGACGCTCAGAACGGCCGTAGGAAGTATTTTGTAGACAAAATGTTTGAATGCCAGAAAATGAGATAAAGGTGGAATAAGAAATCCCCTATTGTAGGGTTATAAAACTGAAAAAGTTTGAAAAATTGCTTTGCTCCTGTTTTTCCCCGCTCTTGTGGGTTTCCAAAAAAATTAGCACCTCGCAAAATATCCGCGCTTATCATATTTTAAACAATTGAAAGAAGTGTTTGTATGCAGATAAAACAAACTGGTACCAAGGTCGTTTACTCGTGGAATTATCAAATTGAACTTTGATTTATAGAGCTACAACAAATGCGGCTCTTGATTTCCTGATTATCTTCACCACCACCGATTATCTTCATATTAGTAATAGTAATATTAGACACAATGTCAGCTTCATGAATTCAAACTTATTTAACACATATCTATTTGCAATAAGATTATAAAGAAAAAGCAAAAACGGAAAGGAAAAAAAGCCGAATAGGAATTAGCTAGCATACAGAAATACCCTGTAGCTGTTTGCACGTCAGCTGAACAATTTTCTCAAAATTTCAACTTAGAAGCTCTTCCAACTTCTTGAGAATTTGAGATGTAGTTGTTATAGAAATTTCAAGTGATTCCAAAAAAAAAGAGATCTATATCCTTCTTTTAAAAAACTCTTCCGCCAAACTCAGTAGCATGTTTTGTGCTCTTCGCAATTTAATTTTCTTTCATCGCGCTTATCACCTCCTCGAAAACATTGACAAAACGCAAGGCAGCCATTCTTCAAAAGGAAATTTAGTTCAAATCTTTTTGCTTGCAATTTGATTATTGGATGTTCTAAGAAGAATGGGAAAATTTTCCTTTCAGGCTTTTGAAAAAAGAAATAAAGAAACCTGGATTGAAATTTAAGCCTGGGTCAGCGCTAATCGGCTTTCGAAACAACTGGGCCCTGCTGAGTAATTATTGTCAATAATCAAATTTTAATGCTGATGACATATGCTTACGCTATATGCCAATTGATTTGAATTTGGTTTTTCTTTGTTTCTTTTTGCTTTTTCCATAATAACGTTACTGCAATTAGGTTCATAGTTTGCAGGTCCATTTACTGTTACATACTCTGAAGAAGCCCTCTATGTGGCTGATCGCAGTCAGAGCCCGTTCGTTCCCCAGAACAGATAGGTCCTTTTCCACATTGAAATTTTCCGGTCTTTCTGTTTCCGAGAAAGTAAATGAATAATGAATCCATGAATTCATCCGTCGGCCATTCGGTCAGTCGGTCAGTAAGTCATTCAACTGGTGAATCTGTTATTCAGTTAGCCAGCTAGTCGATCAGTCAATCAATCAGTTAATTAATCCGTCATTTCTTCAGCCTGTCAGCCAAATGGCTGGTCGGCCAGTTGGCCAGTCAGTTGTATTATTGCTGCAATATTCTTCCAACTAATTATATCTCTAGCAAAGCTTCAACCAATCTCTTTTGAAGTGACATGATCATTTCAGCACATTTTTTTCTTTATGAGGCTAAAAATCACTTTAAGACCAAGCAAACAGCAGTATCTGGGAACGGAAAGTTATTTACACGCTTGAAGCACCAGGCTTCGCACAGGCTGTATCACACGAAGTGAAAGAATAATCAGCATTCTTACCCACTTCCTTTCTTATTTTGCGGAGGAGGAGTGGTTGTTTGATTGCCATTCCAAGGTGTTGTATGGACATTCCCTGGTGTTGGATTGCCATTTCCACGTGTCGGATTTCCATTCCCAGGCGTCGGGTTTCTATTCCCAGGTGTTGGCCATTCCCAGGTGTTGGATTTCCATTCCCAGGTGTTGGATTGCCATTCCCAGGTTTTGGATTGCCATTCCCAGGTGTTGGATTGCCATTCCCAGGTTTTGGATCTCTATTCTCGGGTGGTCTCGGTCGCGGTGGTGGAGGTCCCACACATAACTGTTACAAAGAAGATGCAAATTATATTTAAAACTAACAAAATAACGTTACACGAAGGACGCTTACTACAAAGGAAAAAAAGGCAGGCGGAATAGAATTGAAAAGTAAAATTTTAAAAGATGGCAATAACTCATATAAGTTATAGTTATAATAACTTACTCTCTCACTTTTAACTGGACATATACAATCCCTAGGAAAGAACAGTAAAATATTGATTAAATAGTTTAATAAAAACGGAAGTCATGTCCGCCATTCACTTATCTTTACAAGGTCCGTTTTCTTATCTACTCACTTATCTACCCATTTATGTTCATGCGCTCTCTTACTTACGAGCAGAACAAGGGGTCTAGGTTTCTTTCCTAAAGCTAAGAAGTAACACAGAATTTTCTTAATTCACGTTATCATTATTGTTGTTTCTATTTTCTAAACACGTTTTTATGTATTTCATTATGCGAAAAGAACGAGGGAAGTGATTTTCTCTTTAGAATAATTGTTTCTTTTACCTCCATTAGTTAGGGAAGATCTTACTTTATTCATTAGCATTTGCATTACATTTGCAAGGGTATGGGATATCATTTTTCTCATTTATAGCCTCCTTGTGCTCGTGCATTTTAGGCAGTTAGTTTCATTAACAAAAGTGAGTGTATGACAGTTACTTCTTCGCGTCACTATTCTATATGTCAGGAGTCAAGTTGTTTCTATAAAACGTGAATTTTTTTACCAATAGCGTTTACTCTGACGATATCCCAAAGGAAGTTCAAGTGTCAAATGTTTTTTAAGAAATCCAACCGAGACACCGAGATTTACACCGGAAATTCCGTAGAAGCTTTCCAATTCAGCGTGGTTTGTTCCCACTGCATTGAGACGTAGGAAGCCGTATGGCCAGACCAGCTTCTAGTGGTACGCTCACAAATACCGCCATGGAAAGGTCCACATACTCAAAACCAGCTTCAACTGAAACAAAATTATCTTTATTAATAATGACAATAGGACCGAATGGAGTCCAATTCGGTCGGTAACCATACCATTGATAAACAAAATCGGACGACCGCGAAGCGGGAGTCCAATTTGTTAATCACAGGTTGGATGACAAGGAGTCCTGTTACCAATTAATCATAACCATTTAAATTTCCGAAAACAACAAATACACCCAGAGCAAATCTCTCCAGAGGAGATAATGTCTTTAGTTAAAAATTCTTCCATTTTGGAAATTTCCCAGCCTTTTTTTTGGATAAGTTGCTGTTGCTTTGCTTATTGCGATCAATTCTGTGATTGGTGGATTTAGCTGAGCGGACCTTGTATGATTCGCTGCTTTAAATGTCCGATTATGGGTGTCCCATTACAGCCAATTATCCGATTGCACTATAAAATTACAATTGTACAGAATGATTAGTGAAAAATGAGGCTGCAAATGCACCAATAACATTTGAAGAATTTGCAATGGTCATGATAAAACCCCATTATAAGACTAGAACGTATGGTTGAGGTAACCATAGTATTGAAAATAGAGCAATGTCCAAATAGGAATCAAAGGTATTCCGAAATTGCATCGATTTTGCTTTAGTTCGCCTTGTGATTGGTCTAAAGAGTTGGAGAGCCGATTATTCTCAAGAAAAAAATTGATTGAGTTGATGTAAGGCGAGAGCGTTTTGCGTCCAATAAGCAAAACAAAAATTCGAATGCAACTATCGCTTATCTGCACCTTACCTGATGTAAACTTTACCTAAACTAATAAATCAGGAACTTTGGTTAAATTTGGATAGAAGTAGGCCGCACGAAAGAATTGTTTGATTGATCTCACCTAAATCGTCGAAAAAACTAAAAAAGGATGACTTGATTGATTTTGATTGCGATTTTGGAGACGCTGGCAGTTTCACTGAGATTTTGGGTGTCACTGTAATCTTGACGGATGCTCCAGCTTCCAATTGCGGATCTGGGCTGCTCCAGTCTTTGCGAAGAGTAACCTATATTAGTGATACGTCAAAAAAGGATAAAATTTGGTCTCAAATGGATAAAAAAGGAAAAAAATATAAGAAGAGAGGAAGAAGGAGAGAGAACGAGGTAGCTGATGCTGATGAAGAGGAGATCGAGTCGTGGTTGCACAGGCTTGTTGGCGCTCAGTTGCCGCGGAACAGTGACGAGGCGTTCAAATTTTTTTTTCTATCCTAAATGCAAAGCGAGAACGGTAGGCCTTCATCTTCTTAGCAAGAGGATAATTGATAAGAATAATTTTAAGAAGACGAATGTTTAAAGACATCATCCAAATAAGTTTTGACTTGATTGAGGTCGTGATAAATTAAAAACCCACAAACGTATAACGGTGCTAATCACGGAAAACCCACAAACGTATAACGGTGCTAATCACGGAAAAGCTCAGAAATCACATAATTTTGGAACAACTTTGTGAAAAATTAGCAGTGTTGCAATCCTTGACACGGAGCAAGAGGTACAAGCCGCCATTTTGTCAACAGGTAGGGACCAGTCCAACGGCAAAAAGTTTATAGAGTACATCTAACACTTGAATGATGAAGAAACTGAAACATTACTATGCAATTTTTCTTCCCTTACAGTATCAGCAGTTTTGTAGCAACTACCACGGCTCCAACGGCATTCGCCTCCAAGAGAGACCCTTCCATTGACTGATAATGAACGAGAAATTTTTCCCTAGGGAAAAAAAAGACAGTGAGTTAATTCAACCTCTTTGTATATAGACGATATTTTCCTTAACTACTCGAAAGCATAAATTGCCGCTGCGAACTTCTTGGCCACGGTACTATACTTATTGAATCTTTGTTGTCTTGCTGGGTCACGTTCGTGTTTTGGTTCTCCTTGATCTCGTCGAGACAACTAAAACAGGTAGGACGCAATCATTACATCCCATCGCTGATTTCGCACTAACCAACCAACAAATAGTAAAACTGAATAGCTGACTGACTGAGTAGCTTGCTGACTGGGTCACAGACTGAGTTGGTAATAGAGGAAATACAAGTGCTTGTGTTAACTCATTGAAGTGTTTCATGATAGCGTACAATCATTTTAAATAATAGACATTAAATGAGAGAGCTGTGATGTTTTCAAGGTCAGTGGTTAAACTAAAACGTTAGTGAATTGCATCGCCAACTTACAGATAATCCAGCAGATGCATATCCTGTTATTTCCAAGAAGATACCGGCAGGGATTTTAATTGGCCCAACGGGAATGTAAATTGAACGACCGAGCTGTTTTCCTTTCATGATGTTTAGGCGTTTGTTATATCTGTAGACAAACATAAAAAAGATGATTAATTAATCCCGATCAGCTAAGTCGTCTTTTGCTCGTAAGCTGACCATATTGGACCTCAAAATGACACAAGAATCAATGTTTAAAAAAATATATTGGCTTCATCGCAGAAAAGAACGAAAAACTGTCCACCACAGCAACGTCAGTTTCTCAGATTTCATTTTTTTCTTTTGCCGAAAGAATAATTTCGAGAAATCTTGAGGTTAAATTAAAATTGCTTACCTCAACTCCCCATCAACATTAAATGTCAGAGAGAAATCTAATTCTCCCTTTAACTCCAGACCAACAGCCGCATCCTCTATTCCGCCAAACCACTTCGGTTCTATCTCAAGAAACATAGTCAGTTCGAAAAACATTTCCAAAGAGACTTGTAGCTTGGCGCTTTCCGTTGACAACAACTGAGGAAAATGAAAATTTTAAAGGACATAATTTTGGGGAGAAACTGAGAAGATTTAGATAGATATCAGAGAGCAAACTTAACATAGCATTTACCTAATTCTCGGTTTGTTTACAATACTTTTGCAGAACTTTTAAAAGATGCTGTACCTTGTGATGTATTTCGTCGGGTTTAAAACTTGCCAATTCGAAATCGTATCTCGTCGACCGCCTACTTCGTCTGTTGTGGCTTTTCAGTATGTTTATATCTACAGCTGTAGTAATGGTTCCATTTCCGTCCAATTTGGCAGAAATTACTTCCACCAGAAGAAAATTTCCGCTGGAGTAGACTTCTACAACCTGAGGTTTGAGGTGATATAAGATGGTAGAGTTAGCTCAGATGATTACCAAATGTAAAAGCAGCTGAAAAAAATGACAACGATGAAACAAATGACACAACTCAACAAAGACAACTTCATCTAGCTCGATTTCAACCTGGTATAAACGCACCCAAAAAATCTCGAATCATGAATTTTATGATACATTTTTCTTTCCCCAAGAGGAGAACACTATTTAACTCGTGGGGACAGCAATAACAATCCTATTAAAATTAAATATCCTGAAGTTTGTTGAGTTGGCTTGTCACTCTATTAAGAGACATGCTATAATTTTGCAGTTTCTGAATGATACTCCACATACCGAACGATGGAAGCACTCTTCGCAACCGACCGCGCTAAATCTTGGTAAGTATTCAGTGATCCCTCCATTTTTCTTACTTAAGATGCTCGTGCTTTAATTTGTTAATCTAACTCGGACCCCACGAAATACGAACATTACCTTTGCAATGAAGGCTCCACTAGGTCTTCCAATAATTGAGTCATTGACAAAAAACTGCCGACCTCCATCCTCTGGTTTTGACAGAACAAGGCCTTCGTTGTTATCCCCTCCGCTACAGGATACTGACCCAGAAAGCCTTGTTTTACTTTCCTGTAGTCTGGTTTGTGGGAGCAAGTAAAAGTAAATTAACTCAAACGAAAACTTAAGGATAAGTTGAGCCTGGCATCTAAGGTCTTGGATTTCAGGGTAGAATCCCTTACACTTTAACAGCTTAGTCAACGGCTCGATCGAAATTCATGCACAATAATTGTAGATAGATTTTAGTTCTATCGACAATACTTTTGTAAAGAAAATGTGGTGGGCAGAAGTGGTTTCGAACGAGTTCGGCTTTTCGCTCATGCTTCTTAATAGCCAGCTGGATTGCCTTCGGTCAATCATTTGGGACTTTTGTTGCTCAAGATATTTATCTATTTGTTGTCCGATAAGTAAATTACTGAGTCACCAGTAATCATGCCAAGGCTTGCCAACCCCAATAAGTCATTCATATATCTAAAAAGTCCATGAACAGTTAATAAAATACATGTTGACTTAATAAGTATAGATGCGTGCACTTTTCACCAAAGCAAAAATGTCACTCCTGAATAACAATGCCAATATGGCCATTAGTGAACAGCTTTCTAGGTGCAGTTTACGGGAAATCGTTGCGTTTGGGGAAAGAAGGTGATATTTTTTCCCTGTCAAATGTCTCACACCCCAATTATACTGGTGCAAATATGCCATCGTCTCAACTTGGACCCGCCTGATATTAAAACAAGGCCTCATCATTAACATAAATACCTTGTGCCTTTCCAATGAGAGTTTGCTTCACATCTCTGAAATTTCGTTTCCAAGTAATCGGTGTTGTTCGTTCTATGAACTTTAACAACAGTCTCGATGAAACCATCACTAGTATTGGACACAACTATGTCACCTTTCTTTGGGATGGTATTGTTCTTTTCTATTACCAGGTAAAACGAGTGGACAATGATTTTTCCAGTGTCATATGTGTGACCAAGGCACTTGTATATCTCTAAAAATGATGATTAAGAAAACTGTTTGAATTTTTGTGAGTTGAGTATGACTTTTCGAACCAGAAATATCTTGCAGGTCCTGATGGTCTGTGTGTCTGTTTATCGTATCTGTGCTTGTTTGCTCCCTTGTGTGTCTTTCATGCACTTATGAGGAGTTATGCAACGCATTAAATCGTAGATATAACTAAATGATCTTCAGTCATTTACGAAGTGTTAAGCTGGTTGATACAAAAATGTTTACCTACCATTTGAAAGCGCAATTACCCGACCCTCATCGAACGTAATGTTGCCTGTAATAACGTCCCGCAGGTCATCTTGATTAGGCTCATCCTCAAACGTCGAGTCGTCGTCTACTTGCACTGCAGTGACTTCGTCTTTAAAGTCCGCATACTTGATAACCTCTTCTAACCCTGCTGGGGCGCTCAACATCAATTGAAAAGGACCTTTCGAGACAATAATAAATTTGAACATTGAACGCTATTATAGGTATGTTTTAGAGATGCCTTCGCTATTAATTGTACTTAAATCAAGTTGCAGTCCAGTAAGATCTCAAACAATTCACAACGGTAACCAGATGGCTTATCTTATATTTGATATTTTCATGGAGTACAGTTCTTGGAAAAAAATCGGGAAAACTTTTCCAGCGACACTTGGTAGCAAGCCAATGTCAGCCATTTACAGCCCATGCCCCTTAAAAGAATTACTAACGCAGAGCTTTTTTAAAACCACAAACTCTCAAGTATTCAACTGATCGATATGGTCGAGGACTATGTAAAGGTTGTGACAGACATTTATAGTCATTACACTCACCATCGCTGATTTCTTTGACAATCTTATGCATAATACCTCCTGCCTGAGGACTACACAGTATATCACCCTTTTGAACTTTCAGGACTTTTGGTGCAACTAAAACTAGCGACACCCTCTCCTGATTTGGCAAAATTACTGGACATGCGTAAACGAGAGTCTCGTTAGGCTCCACAAACTTCACGTTTTTAGCAAACTCCACATTATTTCTTCTCTGGGGATCTGTATAATTCACTTTAATTTTCCCGCCTGGACACTTAGTCTCATTCCACGACCTGCACTGGTTGTCGTCCTGTTATGAGGTTTAATAGGTAACAGATTAATACCACCTTCACAATGGCGGATCCAAACCTTGAGGTAAGAGGGGGGAACGGTTTTTTGCCGCTTGCCCTGCCGGCTTTTCTTCCTTCTGCGATTCCCTTTTTTTTTTTTTTAAACAAAAGAGGGGGGGAAGGGAGGCGTAGACGGCGCGGTGCAGTTGGCAATTAGTATGAGGTAGAGCTGTAGAGATTTCTAACCAGATATACTCCCATAGGTCAAATATTCTGTTTTTATTCCAAACAAAGTGTTTCATGCTTAATTTTCGCACTTACTGGTAATGATACTGCAAGTGAGATTAACTGGTTCTATCAACAGAGTTTGCTACAACCTATTGTTAGTTGCTATTTACACCTAGATATATGTACCATTACTTTCAACTCAGTTTTTGCCCATGAAGACTATCTTAAACTGTCACTAAATTTAATAACCAACGATGAGGAACAGAAAATAAAGATAAAAATCTTACTGTGATTTTGTGACATCTTTCGAGATCGCTGCATTTTTGACAGGATTCAATGGTTGCTCCTCCATCTTTGAAGTTGCAATGCCTACCTCTACAATTCACCCTCTGTTTAAGAAAAATATGTGAAAACACTTATCGTTAGACGATAAGCATGGAACATTGAGTAGCGTAGTATTTTGAGCTATTCTACCAATCATCGTGCCCAGAGACTATGGTGCATTGGCAGCGCATATGTTTTGTTCGGTTTTCTTGGGCAACGCAATTTCACGGTGTCCTTCTGCGCATGGCAGTACAAATGGATATCGGGAAACTGTTAGGAAAACCCAAAAAAACACAGAGAGTTATGAGCATAAACCGATGTGCAATCCAGGTAAAACCACTGTTTGTTTGCTTTGTGTTTGAAGCGGAGAGTGCTCTGATAGTCAGGGGCCGCTAGATTTAAGATAGTAATAATTAAAAGAGTAAAACAGCGCAGCATAAAACAAAAACCAAAGAAACAAGCAAAAGATAATCCGGAAATAAATATCTAACCAACTGATAAGCAACACTCGCTAGTGCCGCCCCTTCCCGTCTCTCTTGCATTGATTACTTATATCGAACTGAGTGCAGCATAGTGTTGATGTGTTCGCACCATGAACTATTTTTCTCCTCTTCACCTACCATTATATCTCGTGAACAACGTTCGTCTCCTACTGTATAACAGTGGTAGTAAAACCAAGCGGGACAACTTATTCCTGGAGGCCCCGCGGCAAAACCTCCGAGGCAGGAGCGTGAACTGTCGCACCATCCACAAAATGGGTCTGTCACGCAATCAGCACAACTTTCGTACTTTCCACAGAAGGAGTAAGTGCAGCCAAGACCCTGAAGAAACATCCATAAACTTTCCTGCATTAGGTTGCGTTGGAAAAGATAATTACTACTGTTCTCATGCGATCAGAGACAGAACCGATGGGTCTCGAACACAATGGTTGAAAATTAATGAAAGCACAGTGACTGGTGTCCTTTTGATCAGATTAAGATGCTAAAGACATTTTTAGAGTCCTAAGTGGCGACTAAATTTCCAAAAATTAACCTAGCGTTTCCAAAATTGTGTTCAAATGTGCTGGAAGCTCAACCAAAAATGCTGGCTTCCTAGATCTTGCACACTAATGCGAGGTTATAGCACGATCTCACTTCTCCTTCTTCCATCTGTTGGTGATCTGTCTTAATAAAGTAGGAGCAGCGAAAGAAGAGATTTTTACGAAAGCATCAGCTTTTTTTAAATTCGTCTTATGATCACACGTAAGCGACCGCCTGACAAAGTTGTTTCAAAATGATGGTATCCATTTTCAAATTGTGTAAGACGGGAGAAGGTTTTCCGCAGAACATCAAAACGCGCTTTAAGATAAGTTTTCATATGAGTTTTAGATGGTGAAGATGAACATTACATAAATCATAAAGACGCTTGAGATCTGATTTCTAAGAGATATAGATTAACACTCTTGATCATTTTCTGACAGCGCACTAAATCACCCACACACAGAACCAGCCACACAAATCTAGTTTCTATCCAGCCAAGGCTGATTCCAGTTTTTTAAAAGTGGCCCTGTTAGCCAGGTATCAAACTTGCTACAGTCAACACAGTTATGAGCTATCATGGAATTGAATAGAAATGCCACTTACTAAATATCCGGGGTAGCATTTGCACACATTGGGACCCATGCATTCACCTTTACCAGAACAGTTATGCAAGTCATGGCAGTGAAACTTGGAACAGTCTTCTCCAGTCCATCCGGGATAACAGAAACACGTGGCACCTATACAGTCCCCATTATGGAAACAGCTGTTCGGGCAGTGGATAACTATGAAGCCAAAAAGAAGTTTATCCAGTTGGTACCTGCTTCCTTCATAAGTAGTAAGCATATTCCTGAGACATGGTGTCACCCCCGCCGAGGGACAGGACACGAGAGGGGCCTGAATGGAAACCCTCCCTTCCCCTTGGTTTTTACTGTGATTCAGTACTTGTAGAAATATTTAACGTGAATTGATATCCTATTATTTAATCTACGAGAGGAAATACACGTTATAGACTCTGCATATCAAACATGCTTCTGTGGGGCGTGGTGCTATGCACAGAAGTGCTTATCTTGTTATGATAGTAACAATGGCAATGATGATATAGCGCGTTATAGGAGGCAAAATTATCGACAGAGTGCGCCTCAATGGTAATGATAATAATAGCATTGTTGCTCATCGCAGCTATGATGATGAAAGTTTAATGGTTTTGTCTTTCAATTTAGAGTCACTAGTACATGCAGATGAACAGTCAAGCTATCAATTGGGGATTGCTGCATTTCGACAAGCTTACTATTTCTTTTTGTCAGGTGATGTGGTCCAATGATTTCGTATCGATATTCATCTAGCATGATCATTTCATACAACGAAAGAATTCATTTACCAATTATGATATTGAGTGTGATTTACCTGGCCTCCTCACGCAGACAAAAGGAAGAAATTCATCACAATGAACTTGTGAAATATTTCCGGTGGCAGCCACAACAGGACATACTTTATTTTTCTGATCATATCCGCTATGGGACTGCAGTAAAGAAAAATGATAAGATAAATGTCTCGAATGTTCACTGCTATTCTTTCTTTTACATTATAATTATTATTTAATTTTTTTGTCGTGAAAAAAATTCAAGAAAAAAAGAACATAGGCACACAAAAGGAGTAAATGAGACAAATAGATGGATACACAAAAATGGTGGAAGGTCTCATCATTGTGCCTTAAGTGAACCTTAACAGTTGAGGAAGTAGGTTATTTTGTCTCTCTATCGTCGGTGAAAAACTACCCCACTATTTTTAAGAAAATTTCAGCGTAAAAAATATTTTGTTGCATGAGAAATTACGAAGTGCCATCCCAACCTTTTCGAAGGTGCCAAAATGGCGAATAGGTTTTATGCTTTGAACAGGAAGATGTTTTGACACCAAAACAAAACCACAGAGAGTTTGATTTGCGGGAATAACAGTTTAAAAGTATTACAATTCTTGTTTAAAAAGTGTTTATACGAAGACCTCGCACCGACAACAATGCATGTCTAAGGCCTTGTGCGGGTTTTTTAACCCATTTCATGAGGATAATGTTCTTTGGTCATCTGTAAACAATGTTCATCGCGTAAACAAGAGTCGACACGGGTTGATTCGAGGCTATGAGCGTTATTTGGTGCCCATGATATTATTGGGCAATCAAATTACTTGAAAAATACCTGTGGAACAGAAACTAAATATCGAGCTTGATGTTTTCTCACCTCTCTCAAAAAGCGCCTGCTTATGGTCCACAGGGAAGGCAACACGCCTGAATGAACCAAGGATTCTTTCTGTCGAAGATGCTTTATGAGTCGTTTGTCTTCGTTTGAGAGCATGGTGACGAGATTTCCACCATAACTCTGCAAATGAACGTATAATAACACGCTAAGCGAGCATATGGCACTTTTCTAATAAAGGAACAAAATACAGTTCGAGGAAAGGCGAAACCGAGGGACTAGGAGAGGAAGCGAAGCAGCCCCCCACATCGCGCACGGTGAAGTCGCCCCCAAGCTTAATTTCCTTGCCCCCTAGTGTATTCATTTCACCTCAAAATTCATTTCATCTTAGTCTCCCGCAAATGGAAACAAGATAGAGAAAAGTAGAGTGGAGTACAGGAATAAATACAAAAAATGAACAGAGAAAGCCAAAATACAAGAAAAAAAGGGACTAAAATAGAGTGTCAGTATCAACCGCGCTTACCCCACAATATTTCTCGGCATCAGTGAAAGTGAAGGAGCCTCCTTTGTACATGTAACACATCTCATCGTCTTTAATCCATTCAGGCGGGCAAGACACTAAGAAGACAATTGATGAGATAAAAAACTGATGAGCTGAAAATTGATAAGCTGTATGATAAATTGATGAAAAAAAAACAAAAAGCACTAAACAAAATACGGTTAATTTCGATTAACTTGAGAAAAGAGTTGACAGTTTAAAACATTTTGAGAGAGAATTGATGTTTTAAGTAGCTGAGCAGTATTTTGATAAAAAGATGTTCATTCTAAGGTAGAAACGTGAGACATTAAAACAACATGAAAGATAGACTTGGACCTAGAAAGTCCCAAAAATATTGACCTGATATAGCTCTTTGAGGTGGTAGCTTGACGAACGGCCGGAACACAACTGTTATGGACAGTCGATAATCCGTTGTCTTATCCATGATCAGAGAAGAAATCAGATTTGGTACATTCTCTCCCCACCAATTTAAAGTGGCGTTTACTGTGATTGGACTCCCTCTCATTGTGGTACTGAATTGATAACGGTTGTTAGGATTCTGCAAAACGTTTCCATGAATTTCTGCTGTTCCATTGCACAGAATAGTCGCTCCGTAGTTAACATCGAGCCCCCTTGCACCGTTCTTGTACAATGTATTATTTACAAATCGAAGACCAACAGTACTTGTTTGAGAATTATCATACAGCAAAACGTAATGACCGACGTTGCTATAAAAGAAATTTCCTTGAACAATCGCCCATAACTTTGTTATGACACAAACGCTATCGGCTTTGCCATCCAAATCTCGTGCCAAGTTTCGAGAAAAATAGTTATTGCTCACGTTAACATTCATATAGGGCCCAGAAACTCCCTCTACGTGTAATATGCCTCCTTTGTTGTACTCTATGGTGTTTGCATGGATATGGCTGACCGGTGGTCTTGTCGTGGACAATTCATTGAGTACTTTGGAATAAATACCTCCATTGTTATTTCCAGCAATGTAGTTATTGACTATTTCAAATACTTGCTCAGAAGCATTGAGGTGAATCGCTCCTGGTAGGCTTCCTCTAAGGACTGGATTCAGACCATTGTTTGTTACCTGACAACGTTCTACTTTGAAAATATGTCTTTCACTTTGAGTCATCGTGTAATGTATACCTTGTTTCTTGTTACCACTAAAAACACTTCCGGTTACTTGGTGTACAGCAGTAGCAGCTGTTAAGAAAATGAAATTTACCTTTTTCTATGTACAACTCGAGGCAAACAAGCTTCAAAGAAGGTTATCCTACTTTCAGTATTTAATTTCGGTATTTATCTTCTTCAAGCCTTAATGCATTAGTTTGTTTACGAATTGGAAATGTCGACTAACTTTATAGGGGAGACATCAACGAATCACCTTCTTTTACTTAGAAGTTAAGCACATAATGTCAACATCACCTATGGAAAACAATTCCTCACCTGAGGGAAGAAAAGTGTCCCCAATTTCTCCAACACCAAGCATACACGACCCTAGCTGAATACCTGGCTGACCAAAGAACCATTTTTGTCAAAAGCTGGGATGCTTTTTAAAACCTCGCGCACAGCGCCATGCATATCAACGTTCACCAATTAAAAAGTTCCCTTAAAACTTAAGGAAGCAATTATTTAGCTGTTACAGTGTCATTTCTTTGATCACTATGTTTTTCATGAAACACTGAGGATTTCATTAGCTAATGTGCAGTTCACCTGTAATGTATTTGTCAATTTGAAATATATCACAACTTACATGAATCACAACTGACGAAGGCCAGGTCATCGATTTGAATATTGGCCCACGCCTCTTCATATCCCAATATCACAATCGAGTAACTGGCGTCAGTGTAGGGTAGCTCAATCACTATCTTTTTCCAGTGAGTCACGTAATCGCTCATGGAAAAGAGCAAGGTCGAATTATTACTAATGTCTTCTATAAGAAAAATGGATAGCGATGCTAATGACTTGGAGTCGCGGTCAACCCGCCTGAAGTAGAACACCAAGTAACAATAATTGTTGTCGCTGGAAATTGATGGGCTGGTAAAGGCAGCATAACCAGAAAACCAGTGTTGCCAAAGATGTAGTACTCCCCCTGCGTAAGATATAAATCAAATACAAAATTTGATTATGTCTTTGACAGATAATTGCGTTTGTTGCTGTTTTAACAATGGTACCTTAAGCAGTGATACTCTTAAAGACAGGGGCTGCGATTCGCTATCAAATATCTGATAAAATTTGAGACGGTGAAAATATATGGCACCTTTAAGGTTTAGTTTCAAAACTTTAAATTGTCTACAGAAAAACATGGGGAGAGCCGAAAAATCTCGTGCTTCTGTTACAGTTTAAGCGCTCATTATCACTTCAGCTGAAATTGCACAGGAATATTCTCCTTCTAGATGAGACAATATCAACAAGATTTTCGAAAGTTCAAGTCCTAGGTCATAGTTTATACGAAATTCTCTTTTTGATCACAACATTGAAATTGACACAGTTTCACGATTGCTCCTCTCAGCCAATCGTATGAGAGTACTAGAAGTTGATAAGTAGAGCTGAGAGATCAACATATCAACGTACACGACTGCGCTGAGAAGGTGCGGGCGGAGTATTTTGAATTTCTGCGGTAACAATGTCATCAGGCGACCAACGGTTTTCCGACATTGGCACAATTCCAGCCTTCTCTCTTTGTCATACTACCGTTTAGTTGTTTGATCGATTGCCTTCAAGTTACCTGAATGTACACTCCCTAACTTTGTTCCTTCAATATTTATTTTATTAATTACTTGGGCTGCTGTTCTGATGTACTTTAACGATCTTTTGAAGTTTACGAAAAGTCGTTCTCAAGAAATTCCAATTCACTCGATAACGTCGAGTCCTGGAATCCATTTCTAAGTTTTTGACTGGAGGAACCTTATCCACAAAAGCGCCCGGAGGGAAAACGTTTTGTCGACGGAAGGAGATCCCAGCCCCACCACCTAACTTACTACTTTGTAGAACAATCGAGGTGTAACCTAAGCCAGCTCATATCCGGTTATAAGATAGATGAAAACTTAGCTGAGAGATTAGCTCATGCGAATATCCTTTCTAAAAATCTTTAAACGTCAATCTTATATTACTTATCACAACTCACCATTGCCTGAATAGGTGTGGTCATAAGCACTGTTTCCATAATACCACTTCTTTCTCAAGTCAATTCCTTTAAAACGTGATGTGGGATAACGTCTCCAGCCACAAAATCCACGGTCAAATGAGCATGGAATATCTGAGGAAAATTTGGCAGAATTGTTATCAGATCCTATCGTATTGGCTCCCTCTACCCATTCACATAATACACTTAGGTGTTACAGAACAGTTGTTGAACAAAGCGCAGACGTTACAATGGCAAATCCAGAACGGGGGTCTGGGGAGTCTAACCCCCAATCCTCTTTAGACTATTGGTTTTTTTGTACCACTTGTATGACACCAAAGTTCTTGCAAATTCACAAATTTTTCTCAACTTGAGGTATCTAAAATTAACTTGTCTTGAAATTCTTAGCTTATTTTGGCTCTAGAGCGAAAAAAAAGAGTCAAAAAAGATCTACGTTTCCTGATTCAAAGTTGGACTTCCTCCGCCTCTTTTCAAACTCTCTGCGGCCTTTGCTTTATGTACAGGCAAAGAAAGAAAAAGCATTGACTATGATAAGGATGACGACAATAATTGATAACGATAATGATAACTTACATGCTGACGTTAACGATAGCGAACGCTGACGATAACGATAAAGAGAACGACAGTAATTATAATGAGAGTGATAATGATAGTGATAATGGTTGTGATAATAATAATAATTATAATGATTATAATAATAATAATAATAATAATAATAATAATGGTGATGATGAAAAGTTCCAGCTACTAACCTTTGCTATCAACACGTCGAACGTGAAAAAGCATTTTGCTACTGTACGATCCATCAAATATGACTGTAAAAGAATCCCACTCGATCAATTTTCTTTTTAAGAGTAGACCTGGACTGCTACCATAAGACCTGAAGATTTCATGTCCATTAGGCAGTTCTATCCGAAAATATCTTGCATTCTTTAGGACTAGTAGCTGGATAGCAAAACCAGCACTTGCCTCTGTTTGAACCTTTATTTGGCAGGATACCTCTAGATCTGAGAAAGACACGAATGGTGCCCTAAAGTAAACGAATACATCGTGATCCATGACATTCACCACTTTTTGTGGGGAGCACAGATTAACTTTCCCGTATATATCAATCCAATCACCGTATGCTTCATGAAAACTCAGACCAAACTCGTTTTTTATTGATTTGACGTTTTTAAGTGTAACATTGTTTTTGGTACTGATAAAATCAATTCCATTTCCTCCAGTATTCACAAAGGAACTGTTTGTTATAATCACCTCTTTTTCTGGGAACCAAACCTTGATACCACCTGATGTGCAGTTAAGAACAGTCACATGATTTACTTCTGGAACGTACTGAATCATTTCAATGGCAGCCACGTTTTGGCCATGTTTCTCGCCACAGTGCTCAATTCTTAGGTGTTTTAAACTTGATGTTGACAGGTTTGAGGTGTTCCTAGCTTCGCGAAGAAATCTGATATTTCCCCAAGGCCTTCCTTCGCCACAGTTTAACACAAGATGATACGACATATTGCAGCTTTGGTTTTGGAAAGATAAAGAGCATTCTGCTAAATCCAACTCACTTCCTTTACAATGAAGAGCAGCACAAGCATCCCGAGGGCCGGACGAATTGTGATGGGAGTGATTGATGGACAATGGTGCTTTATAGCCCAGGTGTTCACATATCAGTTTTGCGTCATTAGTTTTCGTGCCCTGCGTCTCATTGAAACACAGTGAGGTCCAATTCCAGTTGTGTAGTATCTCTACACGTCCTTCCCAAGGGAACTTGCCTCCGGTTAATCGAATTTTAAGAGAATCGTCATCTGTTGTCCTTTTTGAAAGAGAAAATTTAACAGGTTGATCTACATTTCCGCCCACAAAGAGTGAACCAAGAACCAACATGCCGACCCTTGGCTTAAAATGCATCTCAACACCAGGGTCAATTGAAAGAGAAGCTTCAGGCAGAATAGTGACATCGGACACAACTGTATAGGGACTTTTCTCTTTTCTTAGAAGAACGTTCGATAAAATCCTTCCTCCCAGAAAGCTTTTCGAGAGCGCGTTAAAGGTGGTATTTTCTTCTGAACCCTTTATTGTGCTTCCTGCATTACTGATGTAAGGACGAAAAACAGCAAATGCGTGTTCGTACTCGTCTTCAGCATGAAAAATTCTCTCCTTGATTTTTTCCTCGTCATCATAACCCCAGAAGTTTAATGTAGCCTGCAATGTGCTGCTATGCGAAGAAACATGGGTGTATGCACAAAGTTCTTTTGAGAAGTCCTGGCTGCTAAATCTGTTGAAATTAATGAAAAATGCTCTCCATTCCATTCCATTCCATTCCAAAGTAAATCCAGAGACTTCTAACTCACAGGTTGGGGAACTTGATGATACAGCCACGTTGTTCAGGAGCGAATTGTTCAAAAACGTTACATTCTTCATGCCAGTGTTCCCTCCTACAACGTATTCGCACTGGAGAAGAACCATAAACTGCCCTTTATTCGATTTAAGGATGTTGTCGACAATTGCGATGTCTTCACCTATCCTCTGAATCTCAATGACTCCACTATTCAGGCAGCTGTTGTTTGTGAAGACGTTACTTCTTATAGTTGCACCTGAAGGAGAGGTTCTTTCTATATAAACAGATCTCCCATGGTTTTGTTTAAAGATGTTTCCTTCTATGATCAGAACTTTTGTGCCTCCTATTATGTCTATGACGCTTTTATCTTGGCAAAAGTTGAACAAGAAAGTATTGTTTCTCACAAATATTTCAGGAGTGTAGTATCTATTCGTATAACGCGTAGTCAAAATAACAGGACCTTGAGTGTTATTCAGGAAAAGGTTACCGTCAAATTGCCATGGATTAGAGTGTGGAGACAAGTCGATGTCTATTACAGGGCCTCGGTTGGCATAAAATGTACAGTTTATGAAGGAAGTGTGAGATGAACAAGGCGAATTGCAACCATAATAACTATGCGAATAAACAGAAGATGCCTTATTCCATCCAAAAAATATCTTGGTTGCAGAAAGTTTCACTTTGGTATAGCTACCATCCAGAAAAAGCCCATATCCATTGCTATGGAAAACACCACTATTTTCAATATTGATTGTTTTTTCACCGTTCGTGTCCACATATAGTCCATTTTCGGTCGAGTTAGAAGTCTTGGTGTTCTCGATATTCACGTTACCTGAAAAAGAAGAGAGCTTGATTCCAATCTTGTTTCTAACGAAGTGGCAATTCAGCAGCTTCAAGCTGTTAACGTGGGAAAATGCTGTCGATAAGCCATTCTTGGGTGAGTCTCGTACGTCCGTTTTTTGGATTTCAACTATTCCTGCGTTATCTCCACCCAACAAAATTCCACCTTCACCGTTGTGGCTGAAATTGCTTTGGGATATTACAAGGTTTGGTGATCTGATCTTCGTCTTTCCACCACCTGTTCGTTGAAAAGAAAAATAATTGTTTATGAACACAAATCAGAGCCTTGCACAACTTTTTTCTGACATAAAGCATGTCTGCGAAAAAAAAGAATTAAGGGAAATTTCCTTCGATCGCGATCAGTAACTGACTTTTTAATTAGTATTCAAAACTTTTCATTAATTTCATAACATAATCAGGTGATAAAAGTGGTTATTAAATAAACTTTAGGCCCTTTGATCACAAAAAAACCATTGCGATCCTTGCAGTGCAACTCTGCCCACCTCATTACGAGTAAAGGGGCGCATTTGACAGCCTCACAAAATATATTAATACAAAACAAAACTCGTTTATTCAGATCATGATCAAATTTAAAAAACATGTTTTTAAAACAGCAAAATGGTGAATCATCATCCTCAGTGATGCCTTATGTCCTTTTTTTGACATCATGAACATTACCAAAGGATCCATTAATGGAGTTCTTTTTCTTGAAATGTCACCACCGATATGATCAATTTCCTAATGAAACAGTTCATTTCCTTAAACTTCTCTTTACAGAGGTAATAGGATTTGTTAATCACAAGTATGATTACAGACAGAATCGGACGAAGTGAAGTCCTGTTACCAATCAACTGAAACTATGACAAAATTTGAGCAAGAAACTAGACATCGGTTATCCCTTTTCATAAAAGAAAACCAAAGTTAACTCGGTGAAATGCGAGAAAACAGCGGGCGTTCACGACGCGATCTGTCCACTTACACAGATCACAGTGTCCAATTACAAGCATGACGCGTACACTGTCCTATAAGTGCTAGAAATTGGGCTGGTGACAACCAGTCACTTTGGAGAATTTTTTCATAGTTTTGATTACACTAAAAATTGTGGTCAAATTCTTCCACGGGAAGAAGAACTGTAGAATTTGCCTTACTCCCTAACTGTGTGGCTTTAAAGGATCTTTTTGCAAACAGCGTCCAAATAGCATCTGGAGGCACGGTTCAAAGCCTGTGGAAGCCTGAAGCTTACTTTTGCAATTGCAAAAATTGCAGTCTACCCACGTAGATCATTGCTTAACTCGATATGATTAAAATAGTAGCTGAACTTACTTTTGATGAGAAACAGTAGAAAATGCACCGTGTCGTCTTCATCCACATAGCCATATCTTTTCTCCAGTAGGATTGAGTTATTGCCAGACATCCAAGCAGGACGGCTATACCATTTTAACATATGGACATCCCAGAGAGTGCCCTTTGTCTTGTCTGTTCCATTGTACACGCGGAAAGCTGTGCCATATACATTGTGATAGACTAGCTGCAATCCTATTGTGTATTCCGATGGAACGGTAATTATGGCCTTGCAGGCTGCTCCGCTACGTAATGTCACAACTAGATAGTACACCTCACTAGAGTCACTAATAAATGTTTCACTTTCAGTGCATATGTCCATAAACTTCTTCACAGACGCATCTGCCATTTTTACCACGTGTGTGTTGAGAGTATTCCAGTTGTAACGATACGAAAATCCGTAGCCTTTTGTGTTTACGACATTTGTACTTAGGAACTCAATAAATGGAGACTCCAAACGTACTCCATCCGACTCGGTTTCAGCTATTGTTGAATTCTCGATTTCATTTGAATCTTTTAAGGGGTCTGGATACATAATCTGGAAACCAATGGCAGCAGAATTACTTACAAAGACACCGCTGATCACGTGACGTGGGAGGTCCACTCTGAAGGCGATTCCGGGGATAGTCAGGTCTTTTCTATATGGAGAACCTGCATAGCACACCTCAACATCTTTGAAGACGCTTTCCTTTGAAGTCACAGCAAGGTGAACGCCAGCCCAGTAAGGGATTTTGCAACTGACATACAAAACATTTCTCATGCATGATGATGATGAAATCCAGTTGTTTTTGTTGCAAATGTTGATGCTGTCTCCTTGATCGGTATCGCATCTGACATTATGTAGGAATATTTTCTCTTTTCCATTTGGGTCATGGTAATAAGAGCTCACTGGTTCGTATCCCAATTGTCTGCATACTATGTCATCCTCGTTTCCATAGGTACGCATACATACTGGTATCCACGTGCTATTGATCCATATTTCAACTACCCCTTCCCACGGAGTAGGACCTGCGACAAGTCTAACGTCCTGAAGCAATGGTTCCCTTGGAAGGAACTTCACCTGTTCTTTTTTATTACCTTTTATGATAACCTTTCCTTGTACTAAGAAAACACTCTTCAATGGAAATTCTAAAGTGATGTTTCCTTCGATAAACAAAACGCCGTCAGACAATATTGTGACGTCACTGATAACTCGGTAGGCATCATTTTGGTTTGTAATATTGAGGACTTGATTTAATGTTCCTCCTAGATTGTTACCTCGAAGAAAACAGAAAGGTCTGACACCGTCGTGTAATTTAAGGCCGGTAGAATTGTAGGAATCCAAAAATGGATAATAATGGATCTGTGCAAGTTCCACTCGATCTTCAAAGTCAAACACTCGGTCTTTTATATTGCATTCATTTCTTGTTCCCCACCAGTTTTGTTCCGCCAGAAGAACGTGTTCACGATCTTTAAGCAGTGCTGCTAATTCGTGAGAGAACAAAGGATTGACAAACGAATTGTACTTTATGGTAACGTTGCCTCCTTTTACAGCTAAAACTGCCTGCGTTTTGGTACGAAGGTAATTGCTGGAAAACAGCCGGATTCTTTGATTGTCTAAAAACGTGTTGTTCCTGATGGTGACACGGCATTTTGTGGGTAACGTTTCGCAATCAACGAAAAATATGTTCTCCCCTTTATTCTTTGAAAAGATGTTCGATGAAACCTGCAAATTAAAGGGTAAGGAATTCTCATAGGTACATCTTCGCCCATGTCGTACTATCAGAGCAAGTCCACTGTTCTCGTAATATATGTTATTAGCCAAGACAGCAGATAACACGTACCATTCTGGGCCAAGGATATCCAAACCATTTTTTTTGTTTCCCTTTACTTTATTACCAGTGAATAAAAGTTGAACGCTCCTTTGCCACCGATTGTTTCCCCAACCGCAATCTGCAGGATAGAGCGTACAACCACCAAGAGAATTGTTGAAAATTGTGGAGTTTGCAACCTTAATGACATAGTTCTCCGGGCGTTGATCAATTCTATACGTGAGGTAAAACAGCACACCGTATTGACTGTTCCCTGAAACATTACAGTTTAGAAGATGAACTGAACGAAGACGTACTGACTTGGTATCTAGAAACCACAATCCTTGTCGTTTGTTGCCACCAGCAATAAAATCCTTTAAGACAACTTCTCCTCCTTGATTTTCCACGTAAAAACCATCCCTTCCGTTACCAAAAGAAGACGAAGACTCTATGTTTATGTTGGTATCCCCAAATTCGAAAGCATAACCGGATTTATAATTGTTTGAGGTAGAAATCCTCTCCAATTTAAGTCCTCCTCTAAAAAAGTAGTCAGCGTAAACTCCTTGATTTGAGTTTCCATCAAATTTACAAGAGCTGAAATTTAATCTGGTATCGGATAATCTTGTAAACAGAGCCCCATTCTGCGAATTTCCAAGAGACAGTACTTCCACTAGTCGAACATAGCAGTAGCGAAATGTTTGTAAATAAACTCCTTCACCGTTACTGTTACGAATAAACTGCGTGTTGTTAATGTTGATTGTGGAGTTGACCTGGTTTAAGATGTGCAATCCTTGACCGCCATTTTCTTCAACTAGGCTGTCAGACATTTGGAATGAAAGAGTTCCAGCATCGACTACGATTCCGGACGCTTGGTTTTTCGAGGATTTGACGTTGGTAAATTCTAAAATGCCAGTTATCTTGGTGATGTAAACACCGCTATATTTGTTCTGCAGAAACATAGATTCTACAACAGAGATTTTTCCATGTGTGTTGCTGACATAGAGTCCATTGTAGTTGTTCCCTATCACCGTTGTTAGGGAGATTCGAGAATTACCAATCAAGTTGTCAACGGTAATACCAGACTTAGCATTGGTAGAAAAGGTACTGTTAGATATCAGTAGTGATGAAGTCTCGCCTACAAATGATCAAAAGCCAATAGGTTAATGTTACAAAGAGCAAACGTCATCCAAACAAATTTATAGACTTGTGGGCGGTCGTTTCGTCTTCGTATTGAATAATAAAATTCTTTCTTTTGTTCAATGTTTTATTGAGTTACCAGCTTACCTATTGACTAACTGACTGTAAGCGACCCACTGACTGATGGAAAGAACCATCCACCGAAAGAACAAGCAAACAACCGAATGAGCGACCGACCGTAACAATAGGCATTGTTGCATACCTAGACTCACTCTACAAAATGAGCACTGTGTTAGGTCGATTCTTAGTCACTTTCCCCTGATAAAATTCAAATGTATGGATACAATTGCAAATTTGTTGCCCGCGCGCCGAATACAACAGCATGTTTTTGCCATTTTTTAAAGAAAAATTCTGAGTATATAACAGGGCACTTAATGTATGGTCGCTCGGGAAACTAGTTAGTTTTGTTTTCCCTCGACTTTGTCTCGGGGAACATCAGGACCCTCGGAAAAAGAAAATTAACTTTCTCCCTCGGGACCATACCTTAAGTGTATATTGTTTACTAGTAGCCTCGTTGCAGTGTCAACTAAAGCGAGGTTACTAGGTGGCAGGCATTCACAAAAAAGACCAAAGACTTGGTTCCTTGGGCTGTGTGATTTCTTCTTAACCAAACATCGACAGACCATCCTAAGAACTGACCGACCGACCGACCGATCGACTGACTGACTGACGGTCTAGTTGTCCAAAGGAAAAATTGACGAGGTTACTGATGGAGAGGTTGAAGAACTACCTTTTTGAATGAGTGATTGACTGCTCAAGGGAACAGCAGATGGACCAGTTCGTCTTATTTTAAGACATAACTAGAAACAGAGCTACCTTGATCTTCCATAACGACCATTTCCAAGTTAGAACTGCCTTTAGAGTAGAAGGAAAGTTCCAATATAGAAGTAGAACCAGTCTTAAATGTCCTTCCATTGTAGTCCCTTGTAATTCTGTGCAGTTGGGTTTTGATAGCTGTGCTTGCATCGGTAAAATTGAGCTCAAATCCACTTCCATGAATTATTCTCAAATACACAGAGATCTTTCTTCCTGGTGAAGCTCTGAAAATCTTAATAAAGCAAATTTTTTTTAAAATTCTTACATTGGAAGAGTTTTTATAGAAGGTAAGCAACATACAGATAAGAATTTCTCTAGGTTACAAGTTACGGCTTGTAGTATAGAGGTTCTCGATCGGTTAACTCCCTTTCATGAAACCTGGCTCAACATTTTGACTATTTAAATGTCTTTTACGTATGCTTTTCCTTTTGAGGAAAAATATTCTTAAAAGAACATCGAAGAGGTGCCAACTGACTTCGCTTGACAGATGAAATCGGAAGAAGAGGCATTGATGTAACTGTTTTCTTCTTCTAGCCTTCAGGGAAAACCTATTTTTTAAATCGTTGGTTATAAATTATAGATGATTGAAAGCTGGTGTCTGCATATGGGGAAGAATGAAACTCCTCTTGATCAGGGGTTGTCTTTTTGCATTGTGATCTTCCCCGTTGTACAAGAAAATCCTCCCCTTCGAAAAAAAACATCACTCCATAGGATAGGGAAGAAGAGTTCTGTCCAATTCACATTTCGATAATCGTCAAAAGATTTGGACTTTTTAATCAATTCTAATTGATAGTCAAGGATGCAGAACTCCCAGTTCGTGGAGACCCTAGTGTTTTCCTCAAATGATTCACGCGGTTTGATAGAAAAATTAAATCCCTCACCATCGGAAGCTTTTCGTTCTACCTTCTAAAATCGTGAATGAAATATGTGCCAAAATTTGACATAAAGCTGTACATTTTAACTACCGCTCAGGAAACTCGAACCAGAAAGCCACTAAAAAAACAAAGAAGAGAAAATCCCTGTTTTCGAGAAGGTGATGGATATGTAAAGATATTCTACAGTTCACATTAGAGTGGTCTTGAGTTCATAGTGTACTCCGCTCTTCTTTTCACCAAACTCACTCACACATTTCAAATAAAATACTCGATCCTACCTTGCTACAATTAACCGGGTGATGATTTCCAGCGGCATTTAGGAGCAAAGGAAAAGAAGCTTTCTCTGGAATGACAGAACAGAAATTCATTGCCAGGCGCGTATAGATAAGGCCTCCTTCAAATCGTGCATTCTGAACTGTGACATT